ATAATATTTTTAATTTTGTTTAATTAATTTTGGCATGACATCCTTTTTTGCACAATTTGTATGATTTCCTCATGTGCATAACTCGACTTATAAATACATAATCGGACTAAGGGTGATACCCTTTTAATTTAAAATTGTCTTGAGTGGTTTGTCTTATCTGATTAGAGGGCCGTTTTGACCATTTTAAATTAAAAGTGTATCCTGAAAGTGAAACCCAAAAAAATTGATTCGTCACCTAAAATTTGGGAACAAAAGAAAAGGAAATGTTCGTTTATTTAAATTTTTCGAGAAAAGATTGTTACAACTCATATAAGATCTGGTCTCGATATTTTTAAATAATCGAACATTCTTTATCTTTCTAAAATGACTCGGTAATTTTAATTCAATCTATTTTGGGTTCTTTTGAATATTGTAAAATTCACATTTTTTTTTGTTTTACGGGATCAAAAATTAAATTAAATTGGAATTTTTAAAGTCCATTGCAAAGACGTTAATTAATCGATTGGGTACCAATTTAGGGCACTGTGGGGGTACAAATCCTTCTCTACACGTAACCGACTCCCGAACTCATTTTTTGGTAACATATACCTCAATTTGTTGTTTTAATTAAAATTAATTTTTATTTAAAATGACAAAATATTTTTGGGTGCTCAATCACTCCCTAATTAAATATTTGTAGCGAATCTTCGAACCATATTTTTCTATTGTAGACGAAATCCTAAATTTTTCGAAACGAAAAGTTTTTTAAATTACATTTGTTTTTAAATTAAAAATAAATTGAAATAGATAAATTAAAAATTAATTTGATTTTTAAATTCTTACTTTTTCCTTTTTAAGAAAAAAAATCGTTTCGACCCGCACAGTGTTACCGGACTGGCGATCCTGTCTCTGGCAAGCGCAATTATACTTACACGCATGTTGTTCGCTCCATATCATTTTTCCTCTTCTTCTTCTTTTATTAATATGATATAAATATAAGATATTGTTTTTTTTCTTTTATTTAAATAAACATCACCTAACCTTTGCCTTTCTTCCATCCCAGTTTCTTTTATTAATTTCTATATTTCTATCCATTTGATACTTAATTTTTCTTAATTAAATTTGGTTATCAATCTTTTGTTGTTGATTTTTTCACAACGCACTTATATTTCATTATTGGTGTGACAATGTATAATTTTAAAATTATAAGTAAATATTTTTTTAAATTAATTTACCATAAAATAGTGTAAGGTAGGAGTGAATAAAATTTAAAAATCATGCAACAAACTTGTATTTTTGTTATTGGTCTAGCACTGTATAATTTTAAAATCATAAGAATATTTTTAAGAATTAATTAGTTAGAAAATAGTGTAGAGTAGACGTTAACAAAGCTTGATTCGATTAAAAAAATTTAATTTTAAGTAATTCAAGTTATCCTATTTTAAATTGATTTATTTCATTTATATAATTTTTTAATTCGAGTTAAATCAAAAGAATATCAAATAATAAATTTATAAAAACACTACTAAGTTTTTTTGACAATTTTAAAAGTACACAAATTACTCACTCACAACAACAAATAAATAAATATTTTATAAAAAAATTCACTCAATCCTATTCATACCTTTAGTATTAGATAACATAAATTGTTACATCAGTAATATAGTGCAGCTACAATATGACATGGATAAGAGTATTTAAACGATTAATTTGGTCACTGATTGAATCAAATTAGTTAAAATTAAATTAATTAAAAATTTTCATTAATTTTTAATCGAAGTAAATCTTTTCAAAATATTATTTACCTAATCAAATAAGTTTTTAAATCGATCGCAAGTTGGGAAGTGCTCGACTCGTGCTCGTTAAAAAATTTTGTTGCTCGACTCGACTCATTGCTCGTTAAACTCACCAAATTTTGTCGGTAGGTTAATTAGGGTTTGATTTTTGGAAGTAGTAAATTAATTATTATTAATTAATATATTAGTAAATTAGTAGTAATTATTAATTGATAATTTAACACGTTTCTCATTATCTATTAGTAAATTAGTGATTATTATTTATACTTTTTTAATGTAACAAATTTTAAGATAACTACTAAAAAATATATAAAAAAATTAACGAATTGTTCGTAGAATTATCTTGTCAAGTTGGACCTTATTCAACTAAACTCGTTAAGACTTCGAGTCGAGCATTAACCGAGTCGAGTTCAAGTGACTTACGGGCTGCTCAACTCATCAAGCACCCCTAGTATGAGTTGATTACAAGATAATATATGTTCAAAATAATATTTAACGATTATATAAATATTTTATTTCAAAATAAATTTTATATTTCAACATATTATTTTAATAAAAGAAATTTATTTTTTTAAATGATTTATTTTGAATTGAAACGTGCTTTGTTTAATGTATATGTTATTTTGTTTACTTGATAAGGTGGATACAAAGTGGTGATCTGCGGATTTATTCAGTATCTAAATCTTTTTGGCGTGTCTATTGGGTATACAACTGCAGCATCAATGAGTATAATGCAAGTAATGTATACATTTTTGGGTAAACTACATGTTTAATACCTAAATTATTACTTTTATTCTATTTTGGTACATAAACTTTATTTTGTTTCAAAATTCTACTTAACGTTTAATTTAGATTTCATTTGATACCTCGCAATTAAAAACACAACGAAGTATTGTACGTGACATTTTTATGAGTAAATTACATTATTCATCACTAAAAAAATTTCTCATTGTTATTTTGTTCACTAAAGTTTAAAAAAAATTCAATTTAACTACCAAACTTTCAAATTGATCATGTTTTAATTACTCTAATTTATTTTATTAATAATTTTTGTGACATTACATTTTTTATTTTTTTAATATATAAGTAAAATGAAAAATTAAATTTAAAAGTTAGAACAATTAAATTAGGAGTAATTTGAAAGTTAAATGATTAAATTAAAAAAATTAAACTTCAGTGTCCAAATAGGAATGAGAAGATAGATGGGTGATGGATGATGTATTTTACCCATAAAATGTGCCAACAATATAGTTAACGGCGAGGTACCAAAAAAAATGGCTGTCCCTTTTTTCCCATATGTATGGGGTAAGGGGGAGGTAAGATAGTAGGCTGCCCCCAACACCAGGTTGAGAGCAGCTTCCGTAGGAGACCTCCAAATTATGAAATGCCCTCCGTGAGACTTGATCCCACGACCTCAAGGTTTAGAACCTTGGGCGAGGTACCAAACAAAACATAAGTGATCGTTAGGTATGATTTTGAAAAAAATTAAAGTTTAGGTATCAAAACGGAACAAAAGTAATAGTTTAAGCACTAAACATGCAGTTTACCCAAGTTTTTTTTACATCAACATTTGATTGAGAGTTGTGACATGTTGAATTGGTAATAATGGTAGGGCAATAAGGAGGTCCAATTGTGTCCACTATAGTTGGGGGGGGGGGGGAAGAAACCATGTCATATGTCAAGTAATCCATAAATGATGATGTTTGGGGTCATTCAGATCTTGCTTTCTCAAATCCCAGCTCTTGATCAAATTTGGTGGCTCTCAATTCTGGCTGCTCTCATGTCTTTTACCTATTCCACCATTGGTCTTGCTCTTGGAATTGCCAGAGTTGTAGGTATAATCTTCAACACCATGCATGCTTCAGATCTCGATTTTGAGTCTTGAGAACGAAGAAAATGAGTTCCGGGAGAGCTTGCTACTCGTTTGGGATCCGACCGGACTTAACACCATGCATTCTAACAACATTGTTAAACTCTTCTTCTTAGACTGATGGATTGTGCTCATTTGGTCTGCTACGGGAACTTTTAGGGGCAACCTTACCGGAATAAGCGTCGGAACTATGTCACAAGCTCAAAAGATATGGAGGAGCTTCCGAGCTCTTGGTGACATTGCTTTTGCATACTCATTTTCTATGATTCTTATTGAAATTCAGGTACATAGTAGATATGGTCTCGAGTCTTGTGGTCGATTATGGTAAGTACTAGTTTTGCTTATCGTTGCTGATTTTGTAGGACACGTTGAAATCGCCACCCGCAGAAGCGAAGACAATGAGGAAGGCAACAAAACTTAGCATTGCAGTAACAACAGTATTCTACATGCTGTGTGGGTGCATGGGCTACGCCTCCTTTGGAGACTTTGCACCTGAAAATCTCCTTACTGGTTTCGGCAACCCATTTTGGCTTGTCGATATTGCTAATGCTGCTATTGTAATCCACCTGGTGGGAGCGTATCAAGTGTTTTGCCAGCCTATTTTCACCTTCATCGAACAATGGGCGAGGCAGAGATGGCCCAAAAATAAGAAAATCACCAAAGAGTTCGAGATCCCCGTGCCGATCCTGGGTTATCGTCCCTTCAAACTTAACCTGTATAGATCAGTATGGAGAACAGTGTTTGTGATGTTTAACCACTTTGATATCGATGTTGCTTCCGTTCTTCAGCGATGTTGTGGGGATTCTGGGGGCACTTGGATTTTGGCCTTTGACGGTTTATTTTCCAGTGGAGATGTACATTGAACAGAAGAAGATATCCAAGTGGAGTAGCAGATGGATCTGTCTGAAGACTCTAAGCTTAGCTTGCCTGATGATTCGATCGTAGCAGCCACTGATTCGATTGCCGGTGTGATTCTTGATCTTAAGGTTTACAAGCCATTCAAGACTACCTACTAATCGTTGCTTTTGCTTGCCTTTCTCGATAAAAAATGAGAAAGAACCAGCAGTAGAATCTACTCGGCTATTGATGTTTAGAGAAATCAAGTAATAAGATTGATTAAATGTTGAATATCTCTAACTTTTCCATAAACGAGCACCTGCATTTTGCCTTCAGGAAGAAAGCAACAGAGTAAAATCTGATCTAACATGGAAACAATCTACACCATGATATTTCGACGATAAACGAGTAACAACGAGCCATTCATGTTAAGCATATATCCATCTTACATCCTACATGCCATCCCTACCGATGACCCGTCCAAATCTAAACTACACAATTCAAAATGTCTTTTAAGTGCAGAAAGACGATTTATGTTATAATCAGTAAGACGGCATCAACTTTCGAGGATTCGCAGTATGGCAGCAGACATGATCACCATATTATTTAAGAAGTGGTTCAACTTATGACGGAAGGCTAAAGGACGTGAGGCTTGGCATTTTCATTTCATCCAGACTCGAAGCTGCAAGTTTCAGGGTTTTCTAATGGCAGCTCATTCTGGTGCAAGGAATCACGTACGCATACGCTTCGCATCACTCTGAGGGACATTCACGTCACCGCCATTCCCCTCTTCTGAATTAACTGTCCGTCCCTGTATGCATTTAACATCAGCAGTCAGATGACCTTATCGACAGTGTCGTCATAAACTTGATATTGAAGAAACAACATAGGGGGATCTCAAAACTTCATAACTTACACTTTCCCCAGGGACAACAGCATATCGCTCCGCTGGAGAAACCCAGGATTTACCTGCCAACAGAACATTTACGTATTCAAGCAAATATGTATACATATACCTGCATAGACTAAGATTGCAGAGCCGGAAGGACGTTTAATGTAATTAAACAAAACCTGACAACGGATCAAGCTTTGAAGATTCTATCTGTTGCCCGCTGGAACCGTCAACACTCAAAGCCTCTATAATCTTTGGAAAATTCCTGAAAATAAGAATCCAGAATGCCATTACTTTAGCCCATCACCAAAAAAAGGAGCTTTAGTCCTCAATTTATTCTTTTATCTATGCTGCTTGGACTCGTACCAATATCTAGAACTTACACTCGAGTCCAAGTAACATAGCTTTCTATAGTAACATGAAACCTGTCTTGTAATGTAGGAACTTCATTTATCTTGTTCCCGAATTCATGATCACAAACCTCGAGTCCTCGACCCTAGAAAACAGATAGGGACTTTCTAGCTACATGAAATCAAAGAAACATCCCCCCGCCCTCGAGTCCTAATCAAGGCAATAAAGAAAACCTCCTCTGGTGATCACTAGTGTAGATGAAAGTGGTATTACCGGTCCACTGATTCTCCATGCCCAAGCTGTCCATTTGTACCTCTTCCCCAGGAGAAGACGTTTTTCCCTTCAGTAATCGCAAGTGTGTGCCTCCACCCGCACGAAACCTGAACTACTTTCTGCGAAACAACAACAATATTCGAGAACGTGATTTCGGGAGAGGATATGATCTCTCAATGAGAAACTAAAAGATTCCTAGAGATATGGACTATCATAACCAATATATGGAAGCTACAAGAACAAGAACGTGCCTGCTCATTAGGAAATTTAACTTGCACAGGAGAGCACATATCGGCATTATCGCCGACCCCGACCTGTCCAAACTGCAAACGAGGAAGAAAATCTAATCAACAAAAGCGACCTGTTCATACTTATCGACTAAAACACGTACGAAATGGCTCTGGATTTACCTTGTTCCATCCCCAGCCATAGAGTTTTCCACTGGACGTGAGTGCCATTGTATGTCTCCATCCACCTGATATCTATAAGATTCAAACCAAAATGACAATCTAAGAACAGTTTCGAAGTCGAAGCTTTTGATTCGACAAAAGTAACTTTTACAGTTCATTATATTACTAAATTGACAATAGAAAAACAATATTTTAATATATTGCTAACTTTGATTTTCCAGTATTAATAGATGGGGGCACCAAAATATCACCTGCTTAGTAAAACTGTCAGCTAAAGCTTCCACCTTGAAAGGAACGAGATGATCCTCAAAGTCCCCGTGTCCGAGTTGACCGTACTTACTCCATCCATAAGTGTATAATCCACCGGTATCAGAGACCGATATGGTATGCCGCCATCCACAAGCAACCTTATTCATCTTCTCCTCCTGCAACATAAATTTTGACTCCTTTAACAGCAAATGAAAGCACCTATATAAGCTTTTACACAATCAGGTCACAGGTCTAATGTATCATCTTTACGAAACGCATCAACAAAGGTTGAGAAAAGTTGTCGAATAAGTATTACCAGCTTGCTGACTTACATTGAAAGAAGAAACCTTCTCGGGAACTAAGCGGTCGTTTCTGTCACCTAAGCCTAAGTTACCGTATCGTCCCCAGCCCCACCCATAAAGGTTACCGTCTTCTGAAACAGCTGCAGTATGTTCAGCACCAGCAGCAACCATTTTGATAGAAATACCCTGTAATGCACAAGAATTCAAGGTGATAACCACTTCAACAAAGTGCAAAAGCAGCTTGTAGTTTGGATAAAATATCGAAGCAGAATTATTTTGTAATCACAGGGAAAGAAATAGAATACATTGAGATTTTAAACTAATTATCAGCAACATTGCAGGCTACAAAGTTTCCTTTGCGACCTGGGTGCACACAAAGTAGGGTGAGAAAAACTCGATTCGACTCGAAAAATAGATTTTTTTCAATTTCGAGTTATTTGAGTCAACTCGAATTATCGAATTGGTTTTCGAGTTTGAGTCAAGTTGAAATTTAAAAATTTCGAGTCACTCGAAAAACTGAAAATTTGGCTGAGTATTATGACAGTTTTGCGATTTAATCCCTGATTTCCTTATTTATTCAATTCTTCCTTCATTTTAAGTCCGTTTTTTTACCAAATTTAAACCACATGCTTCTAAACTATCGTAGAATACCCATATGCTTTCAATTCCTCTTTTTTGATAACAAGTTTTATATTTTTCAATTTAGTCCCTCAACTTTTCATAATTTTCTTATTTCTTCAATTCATCATTCATTTTAAGTCCTTTTTTTTGATCAAATTTGAACCACATGCTCCTATACCACTATAGAATACCTATGTAACTTCAATTTCTATTTTGTTTTTATTAAAACTGTACTATCTTTTTTAATTTAGTCCTTTAACTTTGCATTTTTCTCAATTTGATCTTTTGACTGCAATTGTTTGCAAATTCTTTCTTCACATCAATTTCTTGACTCCTTTATACTCTCTTCAATACTTTACCCTCAAAATACATTCTTTAAAATATAATATTGTAAATATATTTTATAATTTTAGATTGTATTTGATATATTAAATAACATTATAATGTGAAAAGAATATGAAGATATATATATATATATATTATGATTAGAGAATGTTGAAAAATTAGAACTAATCCATACCATAATACTATAAATAATTACAATAAAATTTGTATAAAAACTCGAACAACTCGACTTGAATCGAAAAATTTTCAAGTTAAGTTCGAGTCATAAAATATGACTCGTCAACTCGAATAACTCAAAATTGTTTGACTCGATTCAACTCGATCAAATGCTCACCCTAACTCAAAGGCTCATTTCTCTTAATGCTAAGGTATAAGCAAAAGATAATGGGGAATCACATGACCATTTGTTATAAGATAACCAGATAACATACCGTACCTGAAAGGCTTGAATCTTTTGAGGCACTAGAGAGTCTTCAATGGTTCCAAGACCAAGTTGACCATTTTGATTTCTTCCCCAACTTCAATTAAATTCCAAAAACTAAACATTAAAAAGGGTAAAAAGAAAATATAAATCGAAAGAAGAAATAACAGCAAAAGTAAAGTTCTTCAGAAGAGAGTAAACATATATCCTAGAAGTGTGACTGCTAATTCTGCTGTTACACAGAACAAATAATCAGCTTTCAGGAAAATAAGACAGAATTTGCTGTTTTAAAATGATTAATTATCAAGGGTAAACAGTATCGATGAGATACACCGATAGGTGCTATTGTAAAGACATGATGATGCCAGAAACTTAAATCATGCATTATCTCGCTATCAGTCTTACTAGAAAGCCAGAAAGATTACCAACAAGTTCAAGTTAAAGCATAAGGTTACGAATGGTCAACCAGCTTCTTCATCAATGGCTACTATGCATAGCTGAAATAATACTTTAGGTTTCAGGGTAAATGTGTTCAATCAAAGCAAGGGATTTAAATGAGGAAACTAAATTAGTCCAATGAATGGTAGTCCAAAGAAACACAAACTCATGCCCGAAAAAGAGGAAGAGATGGACCAAATTACCGAAAGAACTTATCTTCTGCTGATTTTAGGATAAAGGTCATAGTCTCAAGGATAGAATAGAATGACACGAGAGTAGCCATGTCACACACCAAAGCAGTGCAAAGGGCTTAAGTGTCGTTATCGTATACACCTCATATTGAAACAAATTCTTTGGAACAACAGTTTTCTCATTAATTTAAAAGTTTCATCTGAAATGAAACATAAACATTTATATTCGCCAGATTGTAGAGAAGTAAACAGAAGGTGAAGAATTATCGAAAAGCCGTACAAACCTCTGCACATCGCCTTCCATTGTCACAGCTAAACAATGGCTGTCTCCACAAGCAATTTGTTTTATCCTCAGACCATGTAATGCTTTTATAGGTTGAGGAGTGAACAAGTCACTAGAATTTCCATGACCAAGTCTTCCAAAGTCACCCCTGAAATTAATAACAGTAAGAAATGATCATAAGATTTTAGTAGGCGTTGAAAATAGATCAACCGGAGGAACATAAACATCGAAAGAACAAATATGTGACGTTACCTGTAAGTTTAAAAAGTTTATAACTTATGACAATATCATATTAATGACAAACTTAAGATACAAAATGCTGTTTTAAAATCATATATGATTAAAAATGTCCATAGTCCATCATTGAGATTCATAAGGACATCACAAGGAAGAAACTTTATCCTTTGGCACAGATCCCTCTAGAAAGGTGAACCTTGTCTTAGGAAGGTATCTCAATACCACTTAACATTTAAAGCATCGTTCAAATTATGACCTTGACTTACATAAGGAACTCGACTCGCAATTAATAGAGCCACTGATGCCATCCAAATCCTTCCCACATATGCAGAAAGGTTGGAAATTTCTTATTTCAATTCCAAAAGTGTTTGTCTCCTTTCTTTTAAAGTAAATGACACAAAGCACCATAGCTACCATCTTAAGGTGGTGATGAGAGTGACCTGGCTCCATCTCAGAAGATTTCTGTGTAGCTTAAACAAATATTCGTGGAGCCTTTATGTTGAAATGAAAGTCCAGAAAGTAAATAGGAAAAACATAATTCCTCCCAAACTAAAAATCCAAACTCCATCATAGAGAACACTAACTCAATAATCACGAATCATAATTTCCTGAACAATCATTTGCATTCCCAATCAACTATAACCAATCATCCTAGTATCTGTACCGAACAACCTTGAATGGTTTCGTTCCCACCTATAACCAAAATGAAGCTGTTGGTTGCCCACACTTAGTAGTTAAAAGCGTCTTGGAGAAGCTTTTAGCGAACCTCACGAACTAAAAATCATCTTGATCAAGCTTACCTCTAAAGTCAGTAGGTCTGGATCAAGTCAACCTTAAGTTCAGATTTACAACAAAGACAATCATTTTGGCATATATATTCACCATCAGTAATCAACATTTAATCAGTAATCAGATTATCACTTTACGTTTGAGAGATTGGAATTGACCTTTGTTTTTGTATCATAGCCAACTTAGAACTGCTAAGCAGTAGCATTGATGCTAGAAAACCATGTACTAATAAAGTGAATAAATTGATTGTTCAACGAATATGCAACTGTGTCAGCAATAGAGAGTGTACCATCCCCAACTATAGGCTTCTGCACTTGACAACGAATATGCAATTGTGTGATCAGCTCCACAAGTAATAGATATTATGTCATGTCCATCTAAGGCACTCAATTGTGTTGGCAAAAGTCGATCCTCTGCGTCCCCATGGCCTAACTGTCCATCCTCCCCTCGTCCCCAAGAGCAAATAATATTTCCAGCTATAAATGAACAAGAATAAGATTATAAGCTCTACGCAAATGTATGTCAAATGAATGCATTAAGTAAGATGAATAAATTTCAGAATCTAATCTTGAAATACACATATACGGACTCAAAAGACAAATTATGATATTTGTCAAATTAGAGAAGCAATCAGACAGGATATACCAAAAATTCTGTTTGTTTTAGTTAATGGAAGCAATATCTATTAGGGTCACTTATTTTTCAAAGCTTAGTTGAGTGAAGGATCTGTGATTTAACTCTGTGGTGAAATCATTTATGCCTTAAGATCTCAACAGGTATTCAGCATCATAGAACTAAAGTTGAAGAATTGTTGCTTTAAAGATAAACAGGAGACATACTATCAACTATTAAGATCAAGAAAAAATTGGTTTACAAGGAAAAATTAATTTCTCGTAGCTGAGTGAACAATATCCATATCCATCAGCATAATAGGATCCTTTTATGGCGAAAATACAGAACAGTGGTGCTTCATGAACTATTAAAAGTTCCTCATCTATCCGAAACAATACGTATATCTGATTTTTCCTACACACTAAAAGTTAATCTAGATTAACCACGATTTTGTATAGCAAAGGAAGGAAAAAAACATACACAAACATATTGGACAGAGTTATTCACAACGAAAACATGCTATAAATAACTGAAGCTATATTACCCAGACTTGAAGGTGAGTGTCAAATATAGATGTGTCCCACAAGTGTGCTCATTTTTTCCCATACCAATGTTAGAATATGTGGTGGATACAAGTGTCAGACATGGGTATTTTGGAGAAAATGAAAAAACGTAGAAATTAAGTCACTGAATGATTTCATTTCTCAAGTGTTTAACAGGACAAGCTATATTGTACTTGATGTCAATAATCCTGAGTGAATGAGACATGACACCAAAGTCCTGTTCTTGAACTGGCAAGAAAAGCTAGACCATTCTTCCATTTAACAGTGAAGATCATATCATAATATCTCTCAATTGGACAAAAGTCAAATGACATGATGGACAACTTCCACCAAATAGAAAAACGACACAAATTAATTCGAAGCCATTCGAAAAATATAAGATCATGCGTATGTAACCACAAGCAATCAACCAATCATAGCCACCATGCAATAAGGATTAGGGAATGAAGCAAAATTGCAACAAATTTGGAAACATATGACAAAACTGATTGCTGAAATAATACAACTGGTAAATACAATAAAACATCAAATTGAATGATAATCAAATCAAAAAAATGAAAGAGCAGGTAATGCTAAAATCTGATCAGGATACAAACAAGTAAAATGAAAGATCCTAAAAGTTTCTTCCAAAATGAATTTTTGATGACAAAAGCATAAAAATGCAAAATCACTACTTTCCGACCTATGAAGTGAGCTCTGGAAACGAAACTCCTGAACTACATGTATAGGCAAGATTTTTCTAACTTTAGTGGACTCAATACGCAGAATATAAGTGTAAGATGGGACGTTTCCAATCAAATCTGATCAGTTCAATTGTCCAGGACATAAGAAGGCAAACAATAGAAATTTTAGATCAATAAGAAATTAGAGAAAAAGAAAAGAAAGAGAAGGGAGAAGGAGCGTACAAAGAAGAGCAACTGAATGGCTAGCACCAGCAGAGATAAAAAGGACCTGACGAAATGGAGCACTGACCTCACTCAAATTCACTTCCTCTTCTGCCATTCCTGGACCTTTTTACAACCCAAACTCTCTCTCGAAAGCCGGTATGATATTTTTGTGGTTGTGCTAAAGGAGAGAGTGAAACAAAGAGATTACTGGGTATTTTAGAAGAAGAGAAATGTTGGGTAGGACTTTGTTTGAATGATCAGGAAAATGATAATAATAATAAAAAATTGAAGTGGGGGAAGGGTTAATTACAGAGACAGACATCACAAGACATGTGCATGATACATGCAAGGAGGATAGTACAAATAAGCAATCAAACTAGCAGTGACGAAACTCAAACTAGGCCCTCATAGACAACACTGAATTGATCTTGTTTGGTTCACTCCAAGGTTATTGGTTAATGGCAACATGCTTGGTTGGTTGGAAAGTTTTATTTCGATGGATAAGCAAATAGGAAAAGCATTGGGGACCATTGGCATTGATTGCAAAAGGGACCCAATTTCAATCACAGAGGTCTTTCCATTACCTTCCAAACGACCCACTTCCCCTTCTTTTCTTTGTCTTTGGACTGTTAAGCAACCATCTTTTTTTCCTGCAGTCGTCTGCCCGACTCATTTGGGAGCCTACTTAGTACACCTGTATTTACATTGCATTAGGAATGTTAAATCACGTAAAAGTTCAGGTTCCAGTGATATGAGTTATGTCATATCAATTTAATGATTTGACTGGGTCAAGTTAGGTCCGAGTTAGTTCAAGTTTTGGTATTTTTATGTTGATTTGAAATTAGATTCAGTTTGGTTCGAGTCAGATTAATATCAATTTATGTTAAAATGGTTTGGGTCTGAATCAATTAAATATTAGGTTAATTTAGGTTTAAATGGACTTCAGTTAAATCTAGTTCAGCTTGGGTCAAGTCATTAATGGATAAAATTCATGATTGATCTTACTGGGTGCGGATGAACTTCAAGTCGAGTCATTTTGGGTGAATTATTTTCCACCTTTCATGAACGTTGAATTGTAATTAGTAATTGTAGAGTTTGGAGTAAATTAAAAAATTAGAAATAATTATGGGACAATTTCAGATAAGAGTATAATTTTAAATACTAAATTGAACAAATATGAAATTACAAAGTGAAATTTAAATAGATTAAACAACACAAGGATAAAATTGAAACAATTGTAAAATATGAAGATGAAATTAATATAAAAATGGACTAAATTGCATTCATTAAAAAGTTGATGAATAAAAAATTATAGGGTTTTGAGATTATAATATTAATTTTGTCGTTCACTATTACGATGTTGATAGAACAATTCATGATGTTGACGTGGTGGTTCACCGTGCCGACATGGTGATCCATGATGATTGATAACGTGACAGAAGGGTTAAATTGATTTTTTATCTTGTTCGAGGGCTAAATTGATTTTTTTAAAAAGTACAATTGCTTATTTAATTTTTTAAAATAAAAATTATTTAAAATTTAAAATATTCAAATATATATATATATATAAATATTAAAAATTAAAATTAAAATACTAAAAAAATATATGTATATTAAAAATTAAAAAATTAAATATATATCGTAAGCTATAAAAAGAAAAATAAAAAATATTAAAAATTAAAAATTAAAAATATTTTTAAAAATATAGATTATAAGTAATATGTGCATATATAACACATAGTAATATCATCAACACTTATACAAACTATTCTTATAATATTAGTTGAGATTTACAATTTTTATAACTTACAGTGTTTTTGTAATAATACTAGTAACTTACAATGTTTCCTAGCTATACTTAGATACAAAATTTATTTATTGGTATGTAAACATAGAATTGGATATTATAATTGAATCAAACGAAGTAAAATAAATAAAAAATTAAAATAGAGGAAGGTAATTGTTTACTCTTATGTAATCATAGAATTGAATGAGTAGAGTTAAATAGAAGAAATTTTGTTAAAGTCGTATGAACAATTTTCTTAACATATATTCATCATATCTTTGGTACTTTGGATGTCAATCTCTTAAGATAAAACAACAAATAATCACATCAATAAGTACAATAGCAGACGAACACCATCTTATATTTTTCTATCACCAAACAAAACAAATTTAAAAGGAATTTTTTAAGTCTTTTCTAATTCTAAAGTTGTCTAAATTGTGTCTCAAATTGCTTTTATATGATGTAAAAGAGATGAACTAAATGGTTAAGACCGTATGACGAAAAAAACTTGACATTTGATAAAAATATTTGACCTTTAATTAAGAGAATTGTTAAAAAATTAATATGTATGTTTGAATAGATTCAACTTTAATAAAAAAAGTAATAAGTTTATTCTCCAAGTAACATGACTTATTACTAATAAGTGTATTCATCAAGTAATATGACTTATTATTAGCATCAATATCATTTAATTAATCTATTATTTTTTTAATATAGGGTGCTAACTGAGTTTTGTAACTCGCGGGCAACTCAAACTTAATTCAGTCAAAACTTGTTCAACGTTTAATTTGAGTTGACTTGATTTACACTTAAACACGACTTGAATCATTAACGAGTCAAGTTGAACAAGGTTTAATTCCTTAGTTTTAAAATACGCATCAAGGTGCAAAGGACCCTAAAGCACAAGCACAAACCTTTTGCGGCAAGACACACTTTTATGCTAAAAAATTATATATAAATTATAAAACATATTTTATTCTCAAATTAAAAATACTCGTGGTAGAAGGTGGCGAGGCCGCCGATGGAGGAGAAGATTGTAGAGATGGTGATGGAGTCGCCATCATTTCAGGCACCAGAACAAATTAATGGTACACTAAGAATACTTATAAATTCACATATACCAACATACAGTCTCATCAAAGAAAGAAGCTTCCTCTAATGAAAGCTTCGCATGATTCATCCAAAACAATAATTCGATCATGGCAATCAGTTGAAAATCCCAAACCCCAAAGGTTTTAATCCAATCACCAAATTTTACCAAACAAATTACTCTTGCTTCAAAACTCGGAAAACTCACCAAAGTCAACTATTGATAACATGGCTCTGCCACTTCTTGGGTAGCTAACTTATAAAACCCAACCCATAAATCACATAAAAAACAAAACCTAAATCTCATAATCCCAGAAAATGCATCAAAATAAAGATTATCAGGATAAGACTAAAAAGACAGAATTATTGGAGTCTTAGAGAAGATGAAGGGATCGCACGAAAATGGAAAATAAAAGAAGAGTAGAGAAATGTTTATCTAAAGGGCGTATTTCTCGAAAAATCTTTCGTGACCGATATATTTATCGATCTAACACCGGTCAGATTATATTTCTCGATCTAACACCCATAGCAGTAAAGCGCGCTCTCTGTCCCGCGCTATATGCTGATTTAGTGCCACGTGGGGTATAGCGCGCCCCTTGTACCGCGCTATATGCTGACATGACTTACACGTGGGTATAGCGCGCCCCCTGATCCGCGCTATACGCCACCTAGGGGTATAGCGCTGCCCCTGCTCAGCACTATGCCTGTGTATGAATTATATTTAGCGCGGACCCTGGTCCGCGCTATACTTTTTATCTGAATAATTACATATAGCGCGGTGCAAGTACCGCGCCTTATATGGTTATAAATACCCTTCACTCCCAGTTAAGTTTCTCACATCTCCTCACATCTCTCCTCTCAACTTATAAATTAATACAACAATTCTGTCAACAAGTAATAATTCTGGTAATTTTCTCATATTTGATTTATAAGTTCGTGCGATTTTTCGTTATAAATTTTGTTATAATTTTTTTTATAATTATTGTTTATTATGATTATTTGAAAAAATATTATACTAATTATTTTCAATTAATTTTTGTGTTTGTAAAATTGAAAAGCATGAGCATACGTCAAAATAGTTTTGCGGTACAGGTAATAATATAAATTTATATTATTTAAATTATTTATGTTGATGTGTAAAAAATTTATTGTGTTATATTTTCGTTCATATATAATTTATTTAATTAGGTTTGTTTCAGTTATTTTTTTTTTGCAGATATAATATTGTCGCACTTTTAAACTCAAAGAATGGCACGACTTTCAGCTATTGTTTATTATGATGGTGAAATTCGAGAAGATGAAACCGGCGTTGTTTTCGTATCAAATGAGCGTGTTAAAATATCATTCAAGAGAAACATAACGCTTGAGGAGCTGATAACGAAGATTTCGAGGAAGATTCATGTTGGAAGTAGTAGAAGAATATCGTCGTTGCAGTACAGATTTCCAACATCATTGTTGTAATTAACTTATACAGTGTTTGAACTTTCGAACAATGATGATGTTCAAATGATGGTTGAAGCTCAAAGTAATTATTTAGACGCCGCTATTGAGATGTATGCATATTTTGTTTAAGTATGTGCTGTTCGGGGTCAATCATTAAGCTCCCACTATGGGCTAGCTGAACAAGTTGACAACCAGACTACAATCATGTGTAATGATTTTAATGCCATAATGGGGAGACATTCATCCGCAACTCCTTACGATATGTATCGAGGTGGGTCCACAAACAATCTGTATAGAAACACCGCGTCCAGTTCAAGGGGAAGACATTCATCTGCAAATTTCTTTGACCATATGGAGATGCCATCGACGCAACCATCTGTGCAGTTTCCATTTGACACGATGGTTTCAAGCTCTAAGGGGAGGAATTCGACTACGAGCTTTTTCGATCTCAATGTCGATATGCCTTCCAGTTCAAGGGAAAGACGTGCAAGTAGTTGGTTCTTCGACCTAAATGTGGAGAGCATGGAGGAACCATCATCTCTACCAGAAGAACTGCTTCATGAGCCTGGTGCGGATGGTGCTGAGACTGGACTATTCATTCACCCAGAATCACTGCAATTCAACTCCGATGATGATGAAGTTCCAGGAAATGTGGCACAAACTAACCCTCCTGCACACATGTATGAAGCTGATTATGGTGCAATGTACGAGCCAGAATTTACGGATATGCCTCATCTCGGTGACTATGGATATTACTCATCAATAAATAATGGTGAGTTATATTTAGGCATGGAGTTTTTAAGCAAAGAAGAAGCGGTGATGGCTATAAAAAATTACAATATCAATAATTCTGTTCAGTCCAGAGTCAATCGATCGACGATCGAAAAATATGTATGTAATTGTGCCCTACACGAAAACGGATGCAATTGGATGGTTCGCGTATCAAAA